TTTGTTCTATTCAGGCCCTCAATGGATTGGATGGTGCCCATCCACATTGGAGGGACAGCCTACTGAGTCTACTGATTCAAATGCTAATCTCATCCAGACATATCTCAAAATAATGTTTAATGTGGGTACCCTGTGACCCAATATCTTATATAATAAAAGGGTAATATGCAAATCAACTGAACAGAGGACCCACTGGTCGCTATGATGTGCACTGACCACCAGAGGGGGAGCGCCCCTCAGCCAGAAGCCAGTTCAAGGCTGGTGAGCTCAGGGGTGGTGGCAGAAGCCTCTCCCACCTTGGCAGTAGCACTGAGGATGTCAGACCGCCTGTGGGATCAGGCCTAAGCTGGCAGTCAGACATCCCCAATGGCTCCTGGACTGCAAAAGAGCACAGGCAGGGGTGAGGGTTCCCCCCCACCCCCGCCAAGCGCACAAATGTCGTGCACCGAGCCTCTAGTAATCTTATATATAACTAGAGGCTCAATGCACAAATTCGTGCAAGGGTAGGCCTTCCTTTCCTCAGCTGCTGGCTTCACAGTCCTGCCTGCCAGCTTCACAGCTCCAGCTTTTGCAGCTCTGGCTTTCACAGCCCTGGCCCTGCCCCCCACCCACACCCACCTTGGCCTGGCATTCCCGTGTCCACCACCACAACCCTCTAGTGCCTCGGTTCACGGTGTACCCCAATGGAGGCACTGAGATTCAAGCTTGGCGCTTTCGTCTGAGCTAAAGCAGGACCACACAGAGTAGCCTGCACGTGAGCAGAGAGGTAGAGAGAGAATCCATAGTGAGATATCATTTAAGCCCCTGGATGCAACTGTCCCTGAAGAACCTCTTCCCCAGTATTTGGTTCATGAGTCAGTAAATGCCGTTATTTGCATTAGTTAGTTTGGCATGGATTCTCCAGACTTTGCAAATGAAGGCACCTGCCAGAGACTCAAACAGCCTGGTTGGCACGGCTGCCCCGGGGCCAGGTCCGTGCGGGGGAAGCTCAGTAGCTCACTGGGACTGGATATATCACTCTCTACGCAATGTTCAAACCAGGGCCATCAGTCCACATGGAGAACGTGGCGTGAGGCTTGTTGTTCTCTCTGACCAAAGCTAAGACCTGTCTCCTGCCCCAGCTCTGAGGGCCACACACAAGGCTACACAGTCCTCGGAAATGTGGGCAAATGACTACCTCTTTGGGTCTAAGTTTCCCTCTTTGTGGGATGGAGCTTAATAATACAGATACCCTCTCTTTCCACCATTCTCCCATGAGGTGGGAGGAGAGAGAGAGAGAGAGAGAGAGAGAGAGGTGAGAGAGACACACTAGCTGACCAGTTGCCTCCTGCACATGCCCTAATTGGGGAGGGGGGGTAGGAGGGGTTTGCAAACCTGAAACCCAGGCACATGCCCTTGGCAGAAAATTGAACCTGAGACCTATTGGTGCTCCAACCATTGAGCCACTCTATCCAGGGCTCTCCTATATCTTGCTCCCTTCTAACCACTCACTTAATGTACTTCACTGCCAACTCCCCCTGGCTGGACCCCAAAGCCTCCTATAGCGGGTGCTATCTGGGGCCTTTCACGCCCCTCAGGCCTTGCCATCAGGCACCTCTATCGCTTTCGGACGAGAGCCTGCTCCACCCAGAGTAGAGCAGAGCGCAGGCCCCGTGGGGGCAGCCCTCAGTCAGTGATAGATGGAGGGAAGCACAGGATCAATGGCCCAGTTCCATTGCCCCTCAGGTGGATGACTCTGAGGTGTGTGTGCTCCAGTCTCCTAGGGTTCCCCTGTGGGAGTGAGCCCCCAGTGGTCTACGGCAGGAATGTGTTTGATAATAATAGCATCCAATCATACCAGTTTGCCCAGGACTGAAGGTTTTCTGGGAAACAGGACTTTGAGTGCTAAGACTGGCAAGATCCAGGCAAGTTGATAACCCCAGTGATAATTTATTATGACTCCTTCCTTCCTTCCTTCCTTCCTTCCTCCCTCCCTCCCTCCCTCCCTTCCTTCCTTCCTTTCTCCCTCCCTCCCTCCCTCCCTCCTTCCTTCCCTCCTTCCCTTCCTCCTTCCTTCCTTCCTTCCTTCCTTCCTTCCTTCCTTCCTTCCTTCCTCCCTCCCTCCCTCCCTCCCTCCCTCCCTCCCTCCCTCCTTCCCTCCTCCCTTCCCTTCCTTCCTTCCTTCCTTCCTTCCTTCCTTCCTTCCTCCCTCCCTCCCTCCCTCCTTCCCTTCCTTCCTTCCTTCCTTTCTCCCTCCCTCCCTCCCTCCTCCCTCCCTCCCTCCCTCCTCCCTCCTTCCTTCCTTCCTTTCTCCCTCCCTCCCTCCCTCCTCCCTCCCTCCTTCCCTCCCTTCCCCCTCCCTCCCTCCCTCCTCCCTCCCTCCTCCCTCCCTCTTTCCCTCCCTCCCTCCCTCCCTCCTTCCTTCCTTCCCTCCCTCCTTCCTTCCTTCCTTCCTTCCTTCCTTCCTCCCTCCCTCCCTCCCTCCCTCCCTCCTTCCCTTCCTTCCTTCCTTCCTTTCTCCCTCCCTCCCTCCCTCCTCCCTCCCTCCCTCCCTCCTCCCTCCTTCCTTCCTTCCTTTCTCCCTCCCTCCCTCCCTCCTCCCTCCCTCCTTCCCTCCCTTCCCCCTCCCTCCCTCCCTCCTCCCTCCCTCCTCCCTCCCTCTTTCCCTCCCTCCCTCCCTCCCTCCTTCCTTCCCTCCCTCCTTCCTTCCTTCCTTCCTTCCTTCCTTCCTTCCTTCCTTCCTTCCTTCCTTTCCTTTCGTCACCTCCCTGCTTTCCTACCACTTCTTTCTCCTAGACCAGTGTTTCCCAAACTTTTGACATATGTGTACCCCTTCTATAATTTTCATAATGCTGAGTACCCCTCGTACTCATGAGAATGTAGAATTAGGCACAGCTGAGCACAGTGCAGTGCATATCCCCGCCAAGCTCTTCCCGTGCCCCTGGGGGTACACGTACCGCACTTTGGGAGCCACTGTCAGACCTAGACACACACACACAGTCCTTGTCTCCGGGCCTTCCAGGGCACCCTCCCCCCTCACGCCCTTCCTGCAGCCGTCACCTCAGCCGCTGGGCTGGGAGGGTCAGATGTGGTCTGAGAACATCTGCCTGCTCCTGGCTTTGCCTGGTGAGGCAGGGTCTGCTGTCATCCCCATTCTGTGTGTGGGAAAGCTGAGGTTGGGGCGGGAAAATAACTTATCTGCAGTCGTCCCACTGGTAAGCGGCACGTCTCAGGGACCAGACTATTTGTGGCGAAATGGCACCAGAATGTTACCAGCAATTAGACTCAGTTCAGTAACCTCAGTAGCTGACTTCTGGCTAAGAAGGCATTCAGAGCCAAGTCTCAAATGCAAGCAAAAGTTTATTTAGAAAGTGACAGAGGTGGAAGAAGTGAGCCAGCTGGGCTGCATGGGCTCAGGAAACGAGTTACAGAGGCTAAAGAAGGGCCCTTTTAGGAGAAAGCAAGAAAGGATACATGTGCCTGAGGTGGGGGGGGGGGGAGATGCAGGTGTATCTCTGGGGCGGGGGAGGGGGGGAAAGGGTGGAGGTGTTGATGGATGGAGAGTGTAGAATAGAGAGGTGAGCTGGGTCCTCTAACTGCAGGCTCTTAGGGGAGATCCCAGGGGAGGATCCTAATAGAATATCCATCAGCTTTTCAGGTGTGTCCTTCCAGGGTCGTGGTCTCTACTGATGGGTCGGTGCCAGGGCGGAGGCATTACTCATCGCAGCTGGTCCTGATGTCAGCCACGGTGTCACCTCAGCTGGCCCCGCTGCTTTTCTGGGCCAGGAGCTGGGACACACTGAGGCCTAGATGTTATCCCTAGGGGTCACTGCTGAGGGGGCGGTTGTGCAAGGGCCCGCATGGGAGCCACACGAGGCCATTCTTTGATCCCTTGCTCCTCCTCCAAGGGGGGCCTACCACATGAGTGGCAACGGGGGAGGAAAGGTCCCGGGAAGGCCCGCGTCCCATGACCAGCAATACGAAAGGTCAGGAGGTCTACCCCGCTATGCTAGTGGAGGAAAGGTTATCCTGGGGGAGGCCCTTGTTTTCCCAGTTCCGCCCGTGGCCAGGCACCTGGCGGTTTCTGCCCCGGGGACCTTCCGCACCGGCCCACGGTGCTTGCTCCGCTCACGTCTGTCTGTCTGCCTCCCGCCAGACCAGGGGGGCCTCACCCCGTGGCACCCGCTGCTCTGGCCTTGAGGGGATGGGACGTGCTGGGACCGTCTCCCCGCTTCGTGGGATGACCTGTCTCCCGTAGCCCTCACACCCGTCCCGGGAGGTGAGACCACCTCCCCTCCGCTCTGCGGAGCCGAGCCCCGAGCCCCAGAGCGGAGGCCGAGCCCAGGTTCAAGCCCAGGCAGGCTGGCACTGCGCGTACATCCTTAACCGGCTGGTGCCTCCACACGTGTAATTTCCTTCCAGGCGGCGGCTGTGGCCATTTTGGGTGAGGAGGGGTGTGACTGCCAGGGAGGCCAGCTGGTGGGGAGGGGGAGGGGAGGAGCTGGGACAGCAGATCTGGCCCAGAGCCTCCAGGTTGGTGTCTGGGTTCCGCAGGCTGAGCCCAGGCCTGCCCTGACCCCTCCCCGCCGGCCCCAGTTCCTCGGGGACCCTCCTGCGGCCCGAGGCATCCCCCGCGCCTCGGCCCCCACCCCTGCTCCTGTGGTCGGCCCAAATACCAGACAGGGTGAATCTTAGCTTTCCCCCAAGCATTCCTAGCTCCCGTAGCCCGGCCCAGGCTGGCGAGTTACGCAAGCGGAGCTGGGGGTTGGGGGTGGGGAGCCAAGGGGACAGGCTGGCCTTTTCTCACCACCCCATCCATCAGCCCACCCACCCTCCCACAGCAGGCAAGGGGCAGGCCAGCTCTCTGGAGCCCCGGGGGAACGGCCTGCAGGGAGGGGGGCCGGTGCCAGGAGATGGGGGGCGGTGGCGGCCACAGCAGCGGCTCCCGGAGGTGACCGCCTGGTTTCCATTAGGAAGCCCTGGTCGGCAGTTCGGGCAAGACAGCTGAGCTGGGGCTGGCTATGGTGAGGTGGGGTGCGGGGAGGTATGAGGGCGAGGCCGCCTGGCCTGCACCCGCTCCGGGATGCTCCGGTCACCATGGCGACGTGGTGCCCAACCTGGCTACTCCCTGACCTGTCCCTCCCCTCCCAGCAGCTGAGCCTGCTGCTGCTGCTCCTGCTGCTGCTGGGCCCCCCGACGACCCCTGGCATGGAGGACCCCGCTTTCCCCCACATGGGGGAGAGCTCGCAGCCCCCGCCCCGGGCCTGCCCCCCGCGCTGCTCCTGCCCCCGCGCTGACACCGTGGACTGCGATGGCCTGGACCTGTGGGTGTTCCCCGACAACATCACCCGGGAGGCTCAGCACCTCTCCCTGCAGGTGAGGGGGGCACACTGCAGGGTGGGGTGAAGTGGGATAAGCATGGGAAAAGCTGGACCTGAGTGATGGGTGTGGGGTCCTCATGCAGGGGTGAGGGTGTTGGCGATGATGGAAGTCGGCCCTGGTGTGGGAGGTGGAGCACAGATATGGGATGTGGGTGGGGCTGAGAGTTTGGGGGTGTCAGGGGCTCAAAATCTTGACAGCTATGGGGTTGTCTGGGGTGACGGTGATGGATGGGGCATTGGGGATTAATGTCCTTTTGGTTAAGGGGTGAGGAGGCATTTGGGGTCAACCATGGGGGGAATGGGGTGTTGGGTTCTCTCGCTTGGGCTGATGGGAAGCTGAGAATCGGGGCTGGGGGCTTTTGTTGAGGGATCAGGGTCATCCGGGTCAGGGGTGTGAATGCCCCCTCCCCAGAACAACCAGCTCCAGGAGCTCCCCTACAATGAGCTGTCCCGCCTCAGCCGTCTTCGAACCCTCAATCTGCACAACAACCTCATCTCCTCTGAGGGTGAGGGGAACAAGGAGGCTGCCCTCCCTGGCTTGGCCCCGGCCGCCCTCTCCCTCCCCCCCAGCCCCACCCCCAGCCCTCTCCCTCCCCCCCCCCCCCAGCCCTCTCCCTCCCCCGGGCTGGGTCTGTGGGCAGCTCTGCGGCGGTTCCCAGAACTGCCCTTTGCTGAGCAGGACGGAAACTCACGGGATGGGGGTGGGAAGGGGGGGCTGTGGCTTTTGTGGACTGGGAGGGGGTGCCTGGAGGAGCCTCTGCCAGTCCCAGGCCAGGAGCCCTGGGGCAGCCGGGAGCACAGACTCCCCCTGCCCCCTGCCAGGCCTGGGGTCCCCTCAATACCCGCTCCGCTCCAGGCCTACCGGACGAGGCCTTCGAGTCCCTCCCCCAGCTGCAGCATCTCTACGTGGCCCACAACAAGGTGAGCCCCACCCAGCGCCCCACCCCACCCGCCCAGCCGGCCACGGCCACGCAGCCGAGTGCAGAGGGAGCAGCAGGGGCTGGAAGGTGCCACCAGGACCAGCACACTGTACCCCCGCAGCTCTCCGTGGCCCCCCAGTTTCTGCCTCGCTCCCTCCGAGTAGCGGATCTGGCTGCCAACCAAGTGACGGAGATCTTCCCGCTCACCTTTGGGGAGAAGCCGGCGCTCAGGTAGCCCCTGGCCCGTCTCAGGGCCTCCAGGCCTCAGGTGTGCTAGGCCCCTCCGCCCCTGGGGTCTGAGGGAGGTCCTGAGCCGGCCCTGGGGGACCCTGGATGCTGTCTGGAGAACACACACACACACACACACACACACACACACGCTCACTCCCATGCACACTGAAGGCAGCCCTGAGCCGGGGTGCGGTGTGGGAGTGATGGAGAGCCTGGAGGCAGGCTGGTGGCAGCAGCCTGGCTCCCCTCAGGTCCGTGTACCTCCACAACAACCTCCTGAGCAACGCTGGCCTGCCCCCCGATGCCTTCCGCGGCTCCGAGGCTGTCACCACCCTCAGCCTCTCCAACAACCAGCTCAGCTACCTGCCGCCCAGCCTGCCACCCTCTCTGGAGCGGCTCCACCTGCAGGTGCCCCTCCTTCACTTTAACCACCCCCTGCCCCCGGCCCCCTTCCCCTCTCTCCTGGAAGGCCCCTCTGGACCCTTAAAATTCCAGCTGTCAGCAATCTTTCCCTGAGCCTCTACACTGGCATGAGTCAAGTGCTCTGAGCAGTCGTGCTTGCTAAAGTCAGCTCCTCCTCTATCTCTCCCTTACTCGAGAGCCTTCTGTGGCTCTCCACTGCCCTCTGTTCCGGACCCTCGGTTTCATTATCTCCTCCCTTCCCAGAACAATCTCATCTCCAAGGTACCCCGAGGAGCCCTGAGCCGCCAGACCCACCTCCGTGAGCTTTACCTCCAACATAACCAGCTGAGCGACAATGGCCTGGATGCCACCACCTTCAGGTGGGGCTTGGGACGAGGTGGGATGGGGTGCAGCTTTGTGCTGGGAGTAGGGGCTGAGGATTCAGAGCCTGGGGCCGCCGCCCTCTGTCCTCTCCTCTGTATCATCCCTAGCCCCACGGCCTCATTTGGTGAGCACTCGCTGTGCACCAGCTCAGCCCAGCGCCCGGCAGCCGCCCTCACTGCCAGCTACCGTGTGCTCCCATCTTGTTAACCAGCATCACAGTCGCCTCCTGCTGATCTAGACTCAGAACTCTGTCCCGGTCATCCCCACCTCTAATCCTCAGGCCACACCTTGCCCTGATCACCCCAAGTCTACCTCCCACCCAGAACTCTCAACTCACCACCCCGAAGTTGGAATGTCCAGCTGACATCTCTCAGTACCACTCCTCAGCCCTTCTGCCCTCTGCCCAAGACCACCTGGCCCACGAGGCTGGGCCCCCAGACCCACGCCAGTGCCCTCTCCCACCAGCAAACTGCACCGCCTGGAGTACCTGGACCTGTCGCACAACCAGCTGGCCGCGGTGCCTGCCGGCCTGCCGCCCGCCCTGACCGTGCTGCACCTGGGCCGGAACCGCATCCGGCAGGTGGAGGCGGCCCGGCTCCGTGGGGCCCGGGGCCTGCGCTACCTGCTGCTTCAGCACAACCAGCTCGGGGCGGCCGGGCTGCCGGCGGGGGCGCTGCGGCCTCAGCGGCGCCTGCACACGCTGCACGTCTACGGCAACAGGCTGGAGCGTGTGCCCCTGGCCCTGCCCCGCCGCCTGCGGTCCCTGGTGCTGCCCCACAACCACGTGGCTGCACTGGGCGCCCGAGACCTGGCGGCCACACCGCGCCTGGCCGAGCTCAACCTGGCCTACAACCGCCTGGCCAGCGCCCGCGTGCATCACCGGGCCTTCCGCCGGCTGCGTGCCCTACGCAGCCTCGACCTGGCCGGCAACCAGCTGACGCGGGTGCCCTCTGGTCTGCCCGCTGGCCTGCACACCCTGCGGCTCCAGCGCAACCAGCTGCGGGCCCTGGAGCCCGAGCCGCTGGCCGGCCTGGACCAGCTGCGGGAGCTCAGCCTGGCACATAACCGGCTCCGAGTAGGCGACATTGAGCCTGGCACCTGGCATGAGCTGCAGGCCCTCCAGGTCAGAGGCTGGCTAGTTAGCCACACCGACTGTCCCCATGGCCCTTCCATCCCCCTGCTTGCCCACGTCCTCCTCCACACGGCCCTTGGGTGATACCACAGAAAGAGCCCCCCCATGGGGGGGCTAGCCCTGGGGCAGATAAAGACAGATTCAGCTTTCAGGCCTTTGGCTGTGCTGTCCCTGCCCCCTGGGCCTCTGAGGCACCCCCTCCCCCGCCTCAGCAAACACTGGCCTCTGGCTCCTCACCACTATTGATCCCTGAGTTTAAAGCCTCTGTGGGGGGTCAGGCACTGTTCTAAGGGGGCCACAGTGGCACTATTCCTGGCCTTAGGGAGAAAGCAATCAATAACATAAGTGGCAGTGTTAGAAGGGCATGACAGTGTGGATGAAGTGCCATCTACACGAATGGCTAAAGGAATCATGTCTCCCACAGCCGGTGGGAACTTGTCTGTGCCCCTAGCATCGATAGCAGGGCCTGCCCCAGGACTCGGTTTACCTCTGCCAAGGGGAGGGAGGATTTCAGCAGCCTCGAAAGGGGTCCAGGAGGAGGGGCAGGACTGGGCTGGGCATGGAGGGGAGGAGGGTTTGGGAGGAGAGAGGTCTGGGGCTCAGCTGAGCCGTCACAGGCGTCTCTGCCCACCTGCCCAGGTGCTGGACCTCAGCCACAACCAGCTGTCCTTCGTGCCTCCCGACCTGCCCGAGGCCCTCGAGGAGCTGCACCTGCAGAGCAACCGCATCAGCCACGTGGGCCCCGAAGCCTTCCTCAGCACCCCCAGCCTGCGTGCCCTCTTCCTCAGGTGCCCCCGGTGGGCTGTGGGCACCTCAGTAGGCCCCGGGGGTCAGGGCGGTTATGGCCCCCTCCCCTTGTGCCTGCCCTCACGCTTGCCTCTTGGTTCAGGGCCAACAGGCTTCACGTGACCAGCATTGCGCCCGAGGCCTTCCTGGGCCTCCCGCACCTGTGCGTGGTGGACACGGCGGATAATCCTGAGCAGGTCCTGATCCGGCTGCCATCCACGGCGCCACAGAAGCCACGGGCAGGGTGCCCCTGACCTAAGGGGCTCTGCCGGGCTGTGGACTAAGGAGACAGTGCCCACCTGGAGCCTCAACCCGTCTCTCCCAGGCCTCCAGCTAGGCCCACCTGACCGGGGCTGGCTAGGGAGCTGGGGTCCCTCCCGGGGGGAGGGACCGAGGCATGCAGCTCACACACCAGGCGACCCTGCTGGCCAGGCCGTGCACAGATGGAGACAGCAACAATAAAGCCTAATTCTTTCGAGCACTCACCACCAATCAGGTGCCCCTCACGTTGTGGGACAGGAAGGGCTCTCACCATCCCTATATCCAGTGGGGAAACTGAGGCTTTAGGATGCTAAGTGGATCAGGAAATTTGGTCCAGGTCCTGTGGCTAGTGAATGGCAGGGCTAGATTTTGAGGCCCCGAGTACCACATGGGTCACCAGGCAGCACCACGTATGGCCTGACCACACCTCTCAACCCAGATATACTCAAGGCCACTGGGCACATCTGGGTTTATCCGTGCAGATTAAATACATGGTAAGGCAGGCGCCCTCACGCAGCCACAGCCCCCTTAACAGATGCAAGAGCCTTCACATGCAAGAACACATCCTTTGCAGACACTTCTCCTCTCAGGCACCTTCCCTTCTACTCCCCCTGGGGTGTGTGTGGGGGGGAAGGGGGGAAAGAGACCCAAGGCGGCCACTGAGGGCCAGAAACAAAGGCGAGATGGAGAGCTGGGTGTGGCCCTGGCTGTTTATTCTGTGTGTCCACCCTGGGGCCTAGCTGAGCCAGGGCGCCCCTCTGGAGAGCCAGCCAGGTTCCGGCTGCTCTCAGAGGCTTCTTTGGGTACGGGGGGAGGGCTGACGGATTAAGGCCAGGGAGGGGCAGGAAGTAAAGTGCTCACAGGGGCTCTCAGGGCCTGGTCCAAGCCACGTTTCCACCTCCGGAACAGGCCAGGGGCACGGGCTGGCTGGTAGGCACCATCCCCGATGCCCCCTGCCAGGGAGGCTCTGGCCAGGCTGGGTGGGCCCAGCAGGGGATGAGTCCATCAGAACCGATTGTCCGCTGATTGTCTGCTTGTCTGGTCGGAAGCCGTGGCCACGTCAGCTCCTCCCGGCACCAGGGCCTGAGCCTGCTCCCGGATCTCCAGGCGGCCAGCCCCACCGGCCCTTCACCTTCGGAGCCGCTGCAGCTGCAGAAGTCCACAGGGGTCAGGGGGCGCCAAGGCCACAGCTGCCCCCCCCACCCCAACACTTGAGCTGCTCACCTCATTCTCAACCAGGTTCCGCCTGTACAGCGCCTCCTTTGCAGCTTCCTGGGGATCCAACGGGGAGTCAGTGGGAAGCCCCTGGCAGTTCCAGCCCCCAGTCCCCAGCCGAACACCACCCCCCCCACCCCCCCCACCCCCACCCCCCCCCCCCCCCCCCCGGCTCACCCTGCTGCCCTCGTTGCCGAGGCGCCGAGCAGCCTCCGTGTAGAACTGCAGCTGATGCTCCAGCTGGGCCATGTATTCTGAGGGGGAGGGGGAGGGCGTCAGAATGGGGCCACTGCCACCGCCCCTCCCCCCGTGTGCCTGTCCCCGAGCCCCCACCTCGCCGGATGGCTGGGCCGCCCTGCTCCAGCTGTGCCCTCTGCCACTGGCTGCGGTGCATGATGTCCTGGTACTGCTGGGCCACCTCCGCGGGCACCGGCCGCCGCGCCTGCCTGAGGGCCAGGATCTGAGGAAGTGGGGTGCAGAGCGGGCTGAGAGGGCCCTGCCTGAGCCTGCAAACCCACCACCCTGCCCCACCAAGCCCAGTGGGTGGGCCCTCACCTTCCGCTCCAGACGCTCTTGGTCGAAGGCCAGCACGCTAAGGCTGTGCAGGGGCCGGGCAGATCTACGGAGTGGGGACAGGGATGAGGGTCTACAAAGATTCCCTCACCCCTGCCTGACCATTTATTTGACATGTTGGGTACCGGGGAACAAGCCAGGCCCACCACAACGTTGCTCAGCCTACACCCCAGTGGCAATGACGTACACTCAGGCAACTGTATACATAGGCAATGCCTGTGCCGGGCAGTCAGAGAGGGCTTCCTGGAGGTGACAGTCAATCTGGGACCCCCAGGAGTCAGAGCTGGGCAGAGGAATAGGAAGCGAGTGTAGAGGTGGAGACGCTCCGGGCATTGTGACATAGATGCCCAGAGGACAGTGAAAACTGGGCGCAGCCGTGAACCAGTAGGAGGAAGTGGGGGAGAGAAGGCTGGGTGTTTTCACAATGGTCAGGTCAAAAAGATCTTAACGATCAAGCTGAGGAGTGTAAACCGGATCCTCCAGAAGAAAGGGAGCCAGGAAAGGTTGTAAAAGCGGGGAAGGATCTGCTCTGATTTGTGCCCGATGAGATATTGTCCAGGAAGGATTGAGATGGGAAGAGGGGCTCTTTCCAGCACGGCCTGGCTCAGCCACCTACCTGTTCCCTGGCTCCCTGGTCGGGGCAGGCATGAGAGGGGCCTTCCCTTTTGGCCCAGCAACCTGCTTCAGAGGACAAAACCAGGGTCGTGAGTCTGGGCTCCTCTTGAACCACGCCTCCCTCCCTGGGGCTGCTGCTGGGCGGGGGTCTCACTGCGGGCACAGCTGCTGGCACGGGGTCAATGACCAGCCATCTCTCCGTCACTGTCTCTAACTGCTGGGCTGTCAGTGGCTCTCGGATCCGGACCATCACTTCTAGCCGACCCCCCGTGGGCCGGCGACCGTCCAGGACCTGGTGGGCATAAGGAGAGGCTGCTGGGAAGCAGGCAGTGGCTGCAGTCCCAGCGCTGGGAGCAGGGAGAACCAAGGTGATTTCCAAAATATGAGCCCATGGGTGAGACGGAGACACCAGCCGGTCATAATGGAACTGGTGCTGGAAGTCTTAGGGGCTGGGAGTGAGGTGGTCTTCAACCCCCGGGGAGGGGCTGGGTCAGCGGAGAGGACTCGGGAGGCTCAGGGCAGGGAGCATCTGAGTAATGTCAGTGAGTGACATGGCCACATGGAATATTAAATTAATGTCACCTCTTACCTCAAGGATCTCCCGGACCTCACATGCCGTCTCCAAGGCATCCAGCTTCAGCTGGGCCGTGCCCAGGACCCGGTCGGTCTTGAACAGGCCCCTATGTGTGTGAGAAGACACAGGATGGTTGGCCCAGGGTAGCTTCCCCTCCCTCAGAGCCCATGCAGTGCCTGACCCCCCAGCTCACCCCTTATGGACCACTTCGAACTTGATGCCTTTGGTCTGGATGGCCCTTCGGAAGCCTCGGTGGCTGCGGTTGATGCAGAGTTTGAACTGCTCCTTGAACTCTGCTCAGGGAAGGAGGGAGGGGTCAGCTATTGTCTCATGTCATCTCTGCAGAGGGCAGGGGTACCTTTGCCCATGAATTACCAGGGGAATCTGTATTCTTGATCACGCTGGTCTTGTCTTTCTGAGCTTCTTCCTGGGACCAGTCAAGAGGCAGGCAAGCTCAGGGCCTGGGACCCCTCACCCAACCCACTTCCCATCCCGATGGGGCGTGAGCCCATCTCTCTTTGGCTCCCCACATACCACGTTGGGATAGGGGAAATCGAACCGAACGAAGACATCCAGGTCACCAGGAGACAGCCCTGTGGGCAAACAGAGGTCACAGCTGGGCAGAGGTGGTCCCCAGAGCCCTGACCCCTGCCTGGCGCCCCCTCACCTGGAGGTGTGGGCAAGTTGATGCACTTCACGACAAACAGGAGCATGTCATTGCTGCTGAGGTCTGGGAAGATCCTTCCGGGAGGGCAGGTGGGGAAACAGAGGCACCTCAATCTTACCGCCCCCCCCACCTGTTCCTTCAGCAGGGGTAGGGAACAAATTCCGCACCACCTTTAGGGGTGTCTCAGCTCCTGAGCTCCAGTTTTAGAATTCGACAAACTAGAGTTCTCTGTCCAATTCCACCAATAACTAACTTTTGGGTATTTTCTTTAGTTTTCACACTTATTTAGTACCTACTATGTGCCAGCCAGTGCCCGCACTGGATAGGCCTTCTCTTCACTTGACATTACTTGAGTCATGTTACTACCAGTCAGTGACCTCACGGCTTGGGGACCTTCCCTTCCTTTAACAATATTTCCGGAGGCCCTACTATGTGCCAGCCGTGTTCTTGATCACGCTGATCTTGATGCTGGGGATACAGAAGTAAACGAGAGAGACCCATCTCTGTGCTCAGGGAACCTGAGCTGACTGAGTGGGGAAAATATCCAAAGAATAAAGAAATAAAGCTACTCTGCAAAGAATTAAAACAGGGGAAAGACTGACGTGTGTTCAGGAGGGGCTGCTTTAGAGAGGGTGGTCAGGGAGGGCCTCTCAGGTGACAGCACAGTGATGCTGCATGACAAGAAGGTGCTGCACAGAAATGCTACACGGGAAACAGAGTCAGGGCAGGGCACATCGCTGGGGTGAAGGCCCTGAGCGGGAACATGCTTGGTGTGTCTGAGGGACCAAAAAGAGGTCTGTGCGGCAGGAGGCGGGCAAACTGTGGACAACACATAGAAAGGAAGTGACAAGGAGCCAGGCCATGCAGATGAGGGAAAGCCAGGGTAAACGGTGTGGATTTTCCTAGGAGGTTATCCTAGGTTTACCCCAGAAGCTGCACCTATAAGTGGGAGCAATTACCCCAACTATCCAGGGTGTGGGAGCACTTAACTGAAGCAGGACCAACAACTGCCATCCCACGGGCCCCTGGCAGGGCACACCTCTGCACTGTTTCCAAGGGGTATCCCTGTTAACACCCCCTCACCTGCCATCCTTCACTCACACCTCATGCCTGCCTCCGGGCCCCTAAGTGTGCCATGCTCCCACCACCCACCCAAACCCTCCTCCAGAGGCAAGTCCTCCACCAGCTCCTGGGGAGGGCAGGCCCCTCCTCCAGGGGGCCTCTGGGCCAGGGGCCATCGGGGCCTTACTTGATGACGCTGAAGGTTCTCTGCTCAAAGCGGGCAGAGGGCGTGGGCAGCCCCCGGGCGAAGGCCTGCTTCAGAGTCTCCATGCTCCGCTTACAGTCCT